TGGCGGCGCTTTATATGCGCCCGTGCATGTGCATGTGCATATATGCTCGCGATGTCAGGGAACGTCTTTACCTTTCATAGATAGCTTGACGATGACGATGTTCGAATAATTCTAATTATAATTATTCATCATTTGAACAACCGAACAACATGTTTGCATCTCGATATTTAACAATGGCAAATCAAATTTAATGTAAGTGTCAATAAAATTATATTTACGTTTCAATTTGCAACACGCAGTAAGTCGCAATTATTAAAAATATGACAAATTTTCTTGAGAATTAATTTCAAAATTTTTTCATTGTTTTTTATCCAATTTTTCATATATATATATATATATATATATATATATATGTGTGTGTATTTAAAAACATATATATATATATATATACACAAGATGGTCCTCGTAATATGAAATTAATCTATATGATAAAAATGATTAAACAATGAAAATAATATAAATAATCAAAACGATCAAAGTTATCTATATGATTAAAATAAAATAGAAATAATAAAGATTTAAAGATAGTCAAAATAAAATAATCTCTAAAAATCACATTATATATTAACTTTATATACATATATATAAAATTAAATAATTTAAATTTAATTTAATACTTAATAAAGATCAATATAAATTATACTATATTAATTATGCACTTTTTAACCATTTTATTTTTTTTAGTTAAATTAACATATATATTTTTAATAATAATAATATGAATTATTATATATCTTTTATTGCCATAATTATTGAAGGATTCTCGAACACTGTTATGAAATATATGATTATTGTCGTACATTTTTCTTGAATTCCGAGTGTATCACTGCAACAAATTTTCTTCGCAAATATTTCTCTCGACATAGTCTTCGAATCGTCAATTGCTCGAAATTGCTGACCGTGAATTTATGTTATCACCTCGTTGATCGTCGTGTCGGACTAATAAAGGATCGCTCGACACGGGCAAAAAAAGAAATAGAAAGGATCGAGCGTGACTTATCCCGCAAGATTACACCGTCAGAATTTCTAGGCACGATAAATTCGTATAGATTGCCGATATACAGTTCGCGGATACGCGAAGATAAGATAGAGGAGGCGCAGGAAATGATCAGATACCGGTGTTTGAGCAGCGGCGGCTATAATTGGCACCTCGACTACTGCGACTATCGTGTGCACATATCTAGTCAAGACTGAGAAATATGCAGCGTAAAAACAAACACAACTTTTTTACGCGACTTATCAATTCAAGTTTCTTTCCACTTCCTCTCTCCTTATTAATTTATAATTATTAGAGTGCCTCGATGTATGAAGAGTACATCGCGTGCATATTCTCATTAAAATTATAATCTTTTGGAATCTTTATTTTAATTATACGTCTTATTGTAATTCAGCGAAAAATGCGCGATTATAGTTTTATAAATGCGCAAAATTTAGCAATTTTTTACATTTTCCCGCGAGTTGTTTCATTTATTTGTGATAATCTGATCGTTAACTTACTTGATGCATTTCATTAAAATTTTATTATTTTGTCAATTTTTCTTGAAATAAATTTAAAAAAAATTTTTTTAATTAAATATTTAACACATTCATGTGTTAATTTGACATATTTCTGTTCTTTTCTTGACTTAAATGTAAAATTAGATTAAAACAATTGAAAAAATGTAAGAATAACACAATGTGCACCTATTTTTAATTTTACACAATAAATATGTTCTGCTTTATTAGTGACAAGATTTAGACAGAAAAAATGTTGATTTTCTATTTTATAATATAAATGATAAAATCTAAAATTAACATATTTTTGTTAATTTTACACAAAATTTATTTTAAATTATTTGAAATCTTGCATTTATTTTGTGTTAAAATATCAACACAATGTCTTCATTGAACATATCCATATTATGTGAAATTAACAGAAAAATTTCTGTGGACCGTTTGAGACATGCGATATTTGTTAAATTGAACAGAAATTTTTCAACTGTGTGTCTGTATGATTTAAGCAGAATAGGAAGATATCTTAATAAGCGCGGTGATGTTCACTGGCACACATTGATACAGTTACCGTACAATATTTATGATAATGCGAATAAACACGTGCTTCAACTCCGCCTGTATATGATTATTTGAATCGAGTACATGCGTGGAAATTGCATGAATGAAATTGCAATCTTTGTCGAGAGATAGAATTTGCTCGAGGGCATATGACGCATAGTGTGCTTATATACATCCGCGTGTCATAAATCGATAAACATGTTGGCCCGTATTCACCGTGTAATAAGAATGATTTGCAAGGCTGTTATTTGAAATGTAATTGAAAATGAAAAAGTAAAATTTTTTTCAATTAGAGTTTGATAAATTTTTTCTTGCACGTTTTTACGATTGATATAGAATCACTGCATATACATACGTTCTAAAGATTCTTTTGACAGTTATGCACGTGCATGCACGTAAATCCATAAATCATCATTTTTATGATAGAAATTGAAATAAGAATTTTTATAAAGAAATATTTGAATATCGCATCAATAATTCACGAGTGGTAAAATTATGTTCCATTTATTTATGATTCTAATTAGCGGAATTTCAGTTTTAGACTCAGTTTACCAAATCTAATCATAATAAATATTTTAACTTGAAAGTTAAGCATAAATTAATAAATATTTCATGTTGCACCCATAGAGCACAAAATATTATGAATGTTTTCAAAAAATATTTCTAAATATTGCATAAAAACATTTTAAAATGATTTAAACATTTTCTAGAATATTTTAAAAACTTTTAAAAATATTTTTAAAAATGTTCTTTTTTATCGCTCAGATAATATTTTCTTAAATATTTGATACATATATTTTTGAAATATTAGTTTAAATCTATATTCAAAAATATTTTTTCAACATAAAAAAGCGGACATAGAAACTTTTTAAAAATATTTTCGAGAATTATTTTACCTTTTAAGAAATATTTTTAAAATATTTCAAAAATATGCTTGCCCATAGAGCATAAAATATTTTTAAAATTGTTTAAAATATTTTTAAAATCTTTTAAAATATTTTTAAAATCTTGTAAAATATTTTTAAAATCATTTAAAATATTTTTAAAATCTTTTAAAATATTTTTAAAATCTTTTAAAAATATTTCGTGCTGTATGGGCAAGCAAAAAAGATATGGTGCAAGTAGATGTTGACAAACAAGAAATCAATTTTAAATCAGTAAAAATCTTTTGAGATAGAAAGATAACGTGCAAATACGTGAGCTTAAAATAACAGTCTGTAGGAGTGTTGTGAATGGATGAATAATGATCGAACGAGTAATGAGCGAACGAACAAAGGTCATCGATCGTCGAGAGATCGAAAGTCGCTAAAGTGGCGAAAGCAAACGATAACGAGAGAGGTCAGGAGAACGGGTAGTAATATAACATTGGCATTCATGAAAGCCGTTAATTGCGTCGATGAGAGTCTAATTGATTTATATGCACTAGAATAATATTTATTTTCAAGGGCGACGACTAGCTAAAAATAATTGCGATTGACAGCTTAGCTTGCAATATGCACTTGTATTATTATCGGAAAAAATGTTTTATCTTTCTTTGTTTATTTATCAAACAATCAGCAGATATTTAACAAGCTTGTTAAAACAAGATCAAGATGCTATGTAAATATATTTTATATATGATTTATTGATGATGACTGATAATTTATATTGTCAGTCATCCGTTTCGAAGTGTATAATGAGTTGCGTGAAAGTGATCGCGTGTATTAAAGTACGAATTTAAACTGGTATTTAGACTGAGTTGTTTGTAAACAGTGATGCATAGTCATCTAACAGTGATTTCCTTCATGAAATTCAAATCAAACGATCCACTTCGTTTCCTCTAACGGATTGCTGAGGTCTTAATCTGCGCGCTCCTTTATATGCTTTTATTTTCTCACTATAGAAATACTTGCTATATCATTAATGTTTCATGTTTCGTGCAGAATTCGATAACTGCGTCAGTAAACAACATTATCTCTGATTACTAGAAAAGATGCCCATTTAATTCTGCCACTTAAATTATACATATATCGAACCCATTATTTAAATTCTGAAAAAATTAGAATTGCAGAACAAAAATTTAAATAAATAATAAAATAATTAAAGCTAGAAAGTATTAATACACAATCCATGTTATATTTACGCACTTTAAAAATTTGTCTAACAATTTTTAATTGCTATTAATCGTTTTTTTTTTATTGTTTATACTGTATTTCTTTGCTGAATAATTGTAGAAAAATTTTATTCTACAGGAGGAAAGTTAGAATATATTTTCTTAATCATGAAAAAATACTGACATCGTCAAAAATATACGTTTTATTCATATAAAAAAATATATATACAAGGGTGTCCCGAAATTGGCGAATTATTTGTTTATGGAAGATTCCTTAAGTTATTTGATTACGATTTTTTCTCAGCAAAAATATCGAGGCACGAATAATTTTCGAAAAAATTTTTCGCAAACTAATTCAATCTTATGGGAATAAAATATTAACAAAGCCACATTCTTCAATTAATTTCAAGATAGTTTACTTTCATAAAACTTTAGCATCTCTCGACATTTTCCGAGGAAAAATCGTCTCCAAATAATCTATCATTAACAGCTGATAACTGATTCGCGAATTTCAGGACACCCTGTACATATATTAAATTTTTTGTATCTATTTGTTCGATATATTTTTTTAAATCTTTATATATAAATATATTCCATTTTTTTAATATTAATTAAGAGATCGACTTACCCCTTTTTTCACGGATTAAAATTTTTTATATCTATTTGTTCAATATATTTTTTTTATATATATGTATAAATACATTTCATTTTTTTAATATTAATTAAGAGATTGACTTACCCCTTTTTTCACGGATTAAAATTTTTTATATCTATTTGTTCAATATATTTTTTTTATATCTTTATATATGTATAAATACATTTCATTTTTTTAATATTAATTAAGAGATTGACTTACCCCTTTTTTCACGAATCGAGTTTGCTATCGAGTTGTTTATCTTCCGCGAACGCGGAATCCGGGAAATGCGTGAGAATCCCGCAATTTCATATCCAGTGTCTTTTTTTCAGCATCGATCTGCAACGAGCGAGGCTGATTTCGTAGGCGGGAAGGCGATCATCAACGCGATGATACAGCAGTTTCTCGCATCTCAATGAGTCGTTTACACGGCTGGGGAGATTTGTGAGGCAAGACATCCAATCTGCAAAGCAAGCCTGGCATGAAACATCAGATTAAGGGGCGCTAACGCGAGACGAAAGTTGGAAAATGGAAGAGATATATGTGTACACATATCTATGTGCGTTCATTATTCGCGCGAAATAAATTAGAATTAATCAACGTCGTAACGTTAATTGGGAACCATTCATTTTCGTTCGTAAAGGCTCGCAGATGTTACATCAAATGCAGGCGAATGTACGGAATACGTAATTGCGTGTAAAGTGTTACAACTGTCTTCTGGTAAAAATATATTGGATACATTTTTTTTTTAATATACCTACTTCGCGATTTTGCTCCCGATATATCGAGGTAAAGAGTGCACATTTTAACTTTATATATGCAAAAGAGAGATTTGTATTCGAAAAAAATTTGTTCCCGATAAATCTATCTCGAAAATGCGATAAATCGACGACTTCGAAAGAGCGTAATGCAAGATATTGCCTGTAAATTATATTAATACTGTTTAACAAAAAAAATTAACCAGATCGAGACTAGTCGGTTCTTATAGTTTTCAAGATGCTGAATCTGGTTTCCAAAGTATTCCATCACGTCACAATTTTCAGTTTAATTAAAGTTGCGAAAAGGGCTTTTTTCATAAACTTTGTTAATTTGTGACGTGCTAGAGAAATTTTATTGCAATCAAAATAAAATATATTATTAAATATATTTTCAACCCTCGAAAGGAATTTTTTATATATCAATAAGACATTCATTATTATAATGGGATGTATTGCAGAAGTTAGTTGTCATTGACGATTTATCAAATAAATTTCAATTATGTTTATTGAAAAATTTATAAATGAAAATATGAATCCATATATTTTTATATCCCTTTTATAATTTACATTTTTTTATAACTGTGTTTATATAAGCAGTCTTAAAAATTATCTAGATGAATCGCCATATAATTTTATATTTTATCTAGATATATTTAAAACAAAATCATCATCTTCTACCAATAAGCTAATTTACATATTTTTATCTCATTTTTATTTAGCTAATTTAAAATCATCTAAACACAACACTGTTAATAATTATCTATGAAAATAATTGCGAAAGGGGACCTTTAAATCTCCTTTAGATTTTACTAAATTATCTAGAATAATTCTCAGATAATTTTGGCTTAGAATCATAGCACATAAAATACTTGAAAAATATAAATAAAAATATGACATTTTTACATCCCTTTTATACTTTACATTTTTATAACTTGGAAAATTATCTAGATGAATCGTCATATAATTTTATATTTTATCTAGATATATTTTACACATTTCTATCTCATTTTTATTTAGCTAATTTCAAAATCATCTAAACACAACACTGTTAATAATTATCTATGAAAATGATTGCAAAAGGGGATATACCTTTAAATCTCCTTTAGATCATTACTAAATTATCTAGAATAATTCTCAGATAATTTTGGCTTAGAATCATAGCACATAAAAATACTTGAAAAACATATAAATAAAAATATGATATTTTTACATCCCTTTTATACTTTACATTTTTTTATAACTTGAAAAATTATCTAGATGAATCGCCATACAATTTTACATTTTATCTAGATATATTTTACACATTTCTATCTCATTTTTATTTAGCTAATTTCAAAATCATCTAAACACAACACTGTTAATAATATCTATGAAAATGATTGCAAAAGGGATATACCTTTAAATCTTCTTTAGATCATTACTAAATTATCTAGAATAATTCTCAGATAATTTTGGCTTAGAATCATAGCACATAAAAATACTTGAAAAACATATAAATAAAAATATATGATATACCTTGAAATCTCGAATTTGCCCAGCCCGCTCCTTATTCCTTATTGGAGTCTTGTAACAGGATCCAGTTCCTCTCGGTAGGTCGCAATCTCCTTCGCTCAGGGTGAGCGCGATTATTCAGATGCGAGGAGCGACGTATATCGCGATTAACGTCAGGCTGATTTATCGCCGCATCAGCGCAAAACCATCAACACCTCGTCTATAATAGACGTTCCTCCGAATGACTGGTGCATGTGCGCGTACAAGGAAAAATACGTAATACCCTCGACGGACTACTCATCCACTAGTCTAGACATCTGCGTCTACAGGTGTCCCGACCAAGGAAATTTAACCGGGGGAAAAAAATCAGGATCATTCCACGGATTGTGGGTCGTTAAAGTTTTTCTCCGTTCACATAATGTTTGACCCATACACGCGCGGATATATAAACGCGCACTGGGTTAAGTGAAAATTTCTCGATTCCACGGCACGATTTTCTCCAACTGCGGGTTAATAACGAGTGTCGCTGCCGGTTAATCGCGGCGTTTAAGATCTTAATGCTCCAATGTGCCGCTTTACCGCAGGATAATCGCTCTATTAAGAAGAGACCCGATGGCGATTTTTTTATTAATATACGCTTCCTCCGTTTTTATCGAGCGTCAGTTCTTGCTCCAAAATTCCGTTCCCGTCAAAGGGAATAATATCGATGTAAATGATAATAAGTATATTCTCGTTATTTTCCGGCTGACGAAAAAAGTTAACGAATCCAGTCCTGCCTTTCCTCGCTTCATTGCGATCGCCGCTCTCGCGTTTCTTATTCCGCCTCGGTTCTTGGAGTAAGTATTCACGACTTCCGGCCGGTCGCTCCAATTTTCCAGAGCTGAACGGGCTAGTCTGGTCTCTCGCCGAGAACTGTCTATGTAAATCAACCGTGTAATGCGGATTCGAACGACCGGGGTCGGAATTTCAAGTCGCAGATTTATATGCTCGGACTCTCTGACGAGATCCCGTCTCCTTTTCATATAGATTAATAAAGCGAATTTCCGCTCGAGCGGGGCCTCTCACCACCCCGATATGCAGGATGTATCTTATCAGTCTGCGATATCCTCGATATTTCTCTCTCTCCCGCGACTTTCTCTTGCCTCTCTCGTAATATAATTTATAATGCGGTTTGTCGAGAGAGAGAGACCATCTCCGCTTTAAACCGCAATTTACCTTCGCAGTTTAACGCGACTTAACACGCTTTGTTAGAATAACGGGAATATCCCTGGGCGATTTACATTTTATTGTTCCCTCTCTTCCTCGACCTCTGTTATGGCACGCGCCGTTTAACATCTCTCATTGTAGTCTTTTTGCCTCTTATTTTAAGAGCGCGACGACGTTTTACCGCAAATAGTAAACATATATATATATATATTTATTTATTTCTTCTTCTGCGATTTCTCATAAAGTGTCTTGAGTGCATTTATATATATATATTTATATATGAGAAAATTTCACAGGGATAAGAAATCTTGCTCCTTGTTTCTACAATACTCTGCCTCTTATGATGAGAGTCTCGTTATATTTTATATAATAACTGTGAAAACAGCACGTAATAATATGCATTTCAAGCTCCTCCTCCGGCTGAAATCTTCCATCCAAACTACTCATTCTTCTAATCATTCTAATCGAACCGAGTTTTACCTTCTTCCTGTCAAAGACACGAGAGACCTCCCTTCAGACTCGTCTGACATCGTCTCTCTGTTTTCCTTTCAACGCATCTTCGAATTTTATTGGTACCTGAAGCAGAAGTAGTTTTCGTCAGAAATCGAATCTTGGTTCTCCTCTGAAATTTACAGGGTGTATACTCAAATCTTGGAAATAAATTCCCTGAGAATTCCAGATTTTCCAGGGAGTAAAAAATATATTTTAATATATACTTTATATAAAACTAATCAATTTTATATTCTTTAAAATATTTTAAAATCAAAGGAGCAATTTTTTAAAAAAATTCCCTGAGTTTAAATAAAATTCCATGATAATTGCAGGATTTTTTCAAGGTAAAACCAAATTCCCTAAAAATTCCAGGTTTCCCAGGGAGTAAAAAATATATTCTAATATATAATTTATATAAAACTAATAAATTTTACATTCTTTAAAATATTTCAAAATCAAAGAAGCAATTTAAACAAAAATTCCATGATAATTCCAGGATTTTTCAAGGTAAAACCAAATCCCCTGAGAATTCCAGATTTTCCAAGGAGTAAAAAATATATTTTAATATATACTTTATATAAAACTAATAATTTTACATTCTTTAAAATATTTTAAAATCAAAGGAGCAATTTTTAAAAAAAATTCCCTGAGTTTAAATAAAATTCCCTGAAGAATTCCAGAATTTTTCAAGATAAAATAAAAGAATTCCATTTTTCCAAGGAGTAAAAAATATATTTTAATATATACTTTATATAAAACTAATAATTTTACATTTTTTTAAATATTTTAAAATCAAAGGAGCAATTTTTTAAAAAATTCCCTGAGTTTAAATAAAATTCCATGATAATTCCAGGATTTTTCAAGGTGAAACCAAATTCCCTAAAAATTCCAGGTTTTCCAGGGAGTAAAAAATATATTCTAATATATAATTTATATAAAACTAATAAATTTTACATTCTTTAAAATATTTAAAAATCAAAGAAGCAATTTAAACAAAAATTCGATGATAATTCCAGGTTTTCCAAGGAGTAAAAAATATATTTTAATATATACTTTATATAAAACTAATCAATTTTATATTCTTTAAAATATTTTAAAATCAAAGGAGCAATTTTTAAAAAAATTCCCTGAGTTTAAATAAAATTCCATGATAATTCCAGAATTTTTCAAGGTAAAACCAAATTCCCTTAGAATTCCAGGTTTTCTAGGTTTTCCAAGGAGTAAAAAATATATTTTAATATATAATTGATATAAAACTAATAAATTTCACACTCTTTAAAATATTTAAAAATCAAAGGGGCAATTTAAAAAAAACTTCCTGAGAATTCCAGGTTTTCTCAGGGAGTATACACCCTGAATTCACCACCACCAGCGATACATATCCCATATTTACAAGCCTGTCCAAGACAATTTCTCCGGCTTGCCTTCCCCTTCGTCCACTTATATCAGAGACGCTAGAACGCTTATTATTTACTTACGACGTCGACCCAATAACGCTCTCCCACGAAGTGGCTTCTCTCTCATCTCGGCACCGATATAACAATTTGATACTCCTATGGCCGTGCATTCCCAGTTCTACGCGATCGACACTCGATATATCCACTACCACACACACGTTCCAGATCTCCTCTCTCGTGTGTGGATACGGTTCACTTCGCCCTTTCTCCTCTTTCTTCCTTACCGGGTTAACCTTCTCCGCCGCTCGAAGACTCTCTTGTCAAGTTTCGCGCCTTCACGTTTTGACCTCTGGCTCTCCCAGTTTAACCGCGTTCCGTTTCATCACGATTGTCCATTCATGACACGAAGAAGAGGGTTCGTTCCCTCCCTTTACCTCAATTGTCTCCGGCGAAAGGAATTCCGACCCATTGTCCTCTTCCCTCGTAGTTTTCTTACGAGTCGAGTGTCATCAACGGAGTCACTCTTCCGCGTTTCTGCGCTTATTCCACGAGTGCCTCTCTCGTTTCAACCTCTTCTTTTCTCTCCCGCCACTTTACTCTACTCTCGCACGCTACTTGGTTTCATTAGGGGGACAATTTGCGCGTCTCTCGATTACAGGCGCGTCGAAAACATCTGGAGCTGCCATCACCTCATGCTGGATTTACACGTGGAGCTGGAAATTACAGCGCACTTTGTACTATATCATCGCGCGTGTGAATATCTTAAAAAATAAATTGCACTATGTCGTAATTAAAAAAAAAATGTAACGAGCGAAACACAAAAGTGTAATAAGAATATATTAACAAAGGAATTGTAATTGTGAAGCTCTCAGTCCCACAATCAAATCGCTCCAAATTTGCTTGATCAATTACATTCTTCTTCTCTTAACGGGTTTAATATCGGTATCATCTACGAGGAAGTGCAAAGATCGCGTGTTCTTGAATTGCTCTAAGAATTGCTTGACGAATGTCAGGATACCACTGACACTATATACCGAGACCGAAGACGAGAGATAGGCTTCGTTTCGCGGTTGCAGACAGGCTTAATTGTGGGAACGTGAGACTCTTCTGCGGATCATTCACGGCCCCGTTCATTTAGTATTCAATCTACATGTCATTACGCCGGCGCAGACACTTTCCGCAATCTCTCTCTCTCTCTCTCTTCGCACGGTTCATTCAAGAAATAAAAGTCTCGAATTACCGCTTCGTCGAACAATCACACGATATATGTCCTGTCGCATGCGTTGCTCGAGTTGGAAACGACGTATATGTCTTAAATATATTATATGCCTTTTCGCGACGGGGTCTTGAAAATGCAATTTATATTACACGTTATTCCACTCCTCGTCGTTTAATCGGACGTGAAATAAATTAATTTTTTTTTTTTTTTCACAACTTGCACGTGTGCTCGATTTATACCGTATGAATGTTACACAATCTTCGGTACAGTTATATTGTTCAGACGAAAGCTAGAGCGTTAACCTTGTTCTCCGTTGTATCTCTCAAAGTCGTTTATCGGGGCTCTATTTTTTGCCTCTAGGAAAAAAATGATATGTCAAAATGAAGCCAATTACTTTTTGGCGGGAACCCCCGATCGAGCCTCGAGCCTGTTCGGCGCCTCTGGATCAGCTGTTTCGAGCTGTCAAACTCATCTTCGCCCGATCGTCTCCTTCAAGTCTTCAGCCACCGATGTGAGGCACTCGGGTTTTTCTCACACACTTCTGGTGTTAACCATGTAACTTGGCGGATGGTAGAATTGCACTGAGACTGGATGATGCCGAGCCGCCCCCGATGTAGCTCCTTCTTGCCTAGCTGCAATCGGGCCATTTAATAGTGGGGGATTCGGATCCCTTCTTTTCGCTCCTGCTGTCGGGCGAGCTTGCTTGCTCGCTCACCTCCTCGTGTGTCCTTGCTCCTACGCGATACCGCGAGCGTTTCCTCCCTCTGCCTCCACCTTCCGACGCGATTCGTCTCATTCTCACGAGCCGAGCGAGGCACTACGCTTGGTTTCCGGCCAAAGTGCGAATCCGTGTCGGCATTTTCATTTAAACGCCGTTTTCGGCGCCACCCTACTCCACGTGATCCCATACAGCACAACAAGATTGCAGCAATATTGTGGCAATATTTCATTGCAATGAAATATTGCCACAATGTTGCTGCAATCTTGTTGTGCTGTATGTTACAACATTGCAATGAAATATTGCCACAATGTTGCTGCAATCTTGCTGCAATGTTGTAACATTGCAATGAAATATTGCCACAATGTTGCTGCAATCTTGAACATTGCAATGAAATATTGCCACAATGTTGTAACATTGCAATGAAATATTGCCACAATGTTGCTGCAATCTTGTTGTGCTGGAAACATCGTGAAATGTTGCAGCAATCTTGCTGCAAGATAAAATGTCCGCTTTCAGAAATATTGTTCTATAACTTTGCAGCAATAATGCAATAAAATATATATGTAATATTACTATTGGATTATTGGAAATGTGCCAAATACATGATCGGACTGAATGTCCAGTACCTAATATTTTTTGCGTGAATTTTATTTTTATAATATTTCTGAAATGTTGCTGCAACGTTGTTTAAACTATATTTGCAAATTTATGTCTATATAATATTTCTGCAATATTGCTCTGTAATGTTGTTGCAATATTGCTGCAAACTTGTGTGCTATATGGGATTCTATTCAAATTTAGCCAGAGTTGTCCGAAAAGTGCTTTCCAAGAACTTTAACGCTGTATTTTTGCAAGAGAACGATTTATACATATGTATACCTATACATTATAATATATACAGGGTGTTAAATTCTAGGGGTTAAAATAAGAACAAATGGTCCTATAAACATATGGGTCCAAAAATGCTTTATCCTCTCTTAAGGTCGGGAGAAAAAATTGAAAAAGGTGTTACAGCTCTTGAAAACTTTTTAACAGATAATTTGCAATTTTGCGCGGTGTAATAATTCATTTTTGTGATTTTGAAAGGGAAATATGGGAGGTGCTAATTTTTATTTTTGAACCCATCTTTATATGACCCTAGAATACACTTTTTAAATCTCTGACATAGTTTTAGAAATACTCTGTATATATATTTATTTATTTATCATACTGAATGTCCCAGACTTGCCGTATCATCCATTAATGAGAGATTTCTGAAGTCATTTGGAGACGACTTTTCCTCAGCGAAAATGTCGAAGCACTAATAATTTTCAAGTATAAGAGATTGAAAATAAAACAAATATCTTTTTCTGAAATTAAGCCTTGTGGACATAAAATATTAACAAATTAACAAATTAACAAATATAACAAAACAATATTTATATATATAAATATATATATATATATATATATATATATATAACATATATGATATAATTATATAATGTAATATATATAATATAATTATATTAATATATATAAACTTATATAAATAAATATTTATAAATTTATAAAATAAAAATGTTTATAAATTTATAAAATTGACAATTTGTTTAAGAATAAATTCCGCAGTTCAGGAGTCTCATATTGAGACTCTTTTCATCTCGAAAGGATCTTGACTCTATCAACTTTTTATTGCGCAAGACGCCCAAGTTCGAAGAGATTGGATTTATAATGATACACCGTCGGGGAGCAATTCGATTTTAATTATCACAGAGTCATCCTCCTCTCCCGTGATTTTTGACAGACGGTGCCCTAGAATGTTACAAATGCACGCATTATTCACCGTGAGAACTCTTTCGGAGCGCTCCGGAGAAATCACCGAGCAAAGGTACCATCTGAAAAAGGGCATTCTCACGCGAGGAACGTGAAGTCGTGCTAACATTCGACATTTTCTAGGACACGGCGACCTCGATCTCTGCATACGCCGCGTTCTGCTACAGCGGAAGCGTCGTTCGGTCGTTTAATACGGAGGATACTTTCTTGAGAGAACTTCCGCATCGTCCGCCAAAAGAGAGAAAGGATGAGGCCTCGACCCCCCAAATGACAGACGCTAATATATGCAAAAGTTGTAGTGTGCATACTAATCATTCGGTGTAATATGGTAATCCTGCGTAAGGATACGAACACGATTAATTAATGTCCATCATTGTTCCTACTTTAGGAGGATCTCATGATGCATTTATCGCTCATTGTCGGTATAATTTCTGAAAGCAAGCAGACTCTAACTCTTCCTCTTTGGGCGACTTTGTCAAAAGTACCCAAGAAGAACAGAAATGTCAAATTTTGACGTCAAACTATGGTCATTTTAGTTCGTCAAAATGACATCAAATTGCATAAAATTTTCATGTTATCTTGATGTTCATAATGATAAAAAATTATTATTTTGTATTAAAATAATTGAGATGCAAATTTACGTACATCACATTTTCTAAAAATTAAAAAGGTCAAAAAGTCAATATAAAAAGTCATTTTTTAGTCATCTTCGAGATCGAGATTTCCATGAACATTTCCAAAAAATGACGTAAGATTAGTCAAATTGACATCATTTTGATTTTTCTGTTCTCCTCGGGTAACAGAGAACCTTGTTATGGATTCAAAATGTAATAGTAGTTTTTAGTTTTTAATCACAATAGTATAATTTTAATGTAATTCTCGCTCGCGAAGCATTTAAATAGTAGAAGAGATTATCTTAATTTTGCTACACAAAGAGCGATTCGATCAATTATATGGCGTAAATTTCTTAAATTATAAAGACATTATAATAATACATAATCATATGCATCTCTTCGATAAATGTAATCGGCTTAATAATAAGCTGTCTCAAAGTCATACTTGTTAGACAAGAAAATAAACCCTCCGTTTCTAACGCAAAGATACACATTTTATACAAAACGAGATGATGTTTATAAATTACAGTAGTTAAAAGAATAATGAACATTTTCCTTTGGATTCGTAATTGAGATTATTTTGTATCATTTTTCTAATTATGCATATATAACATGGAAAGAATTTTCTCTGAAAATTTATCCTGAAATTCATGGTAATCATGAGACAATATGGTATTGGAAAAATTTTATAAACGTTTCCCTATATGATTAATATTTATCACAATAAAAAATATTAGCCCGCTATGTATTTCAAAAATATGAATATCTACCACAATAAGATATAAAATATGTTTGATTAATTTTATTAAAATATGTAAGACAAATTTCAATAATTTTAAAATTCCAGCTTAATCATACAATATGATAATTTTCGGTTCATTACCAAACATGATAAAATTTGTAGTGAATTTCGCGGTAAAATGTACCGAAAAAAGGTTCTTCATATTTTTGTGTCAACACGTAATAAATTCTAAAACAAGAGGAAAAATAGAAATAATAATTAATGATAATTAAATTATATGAAATTATATATATATATATACACATATTAATAATTATTTATATATTATATATCATTATTCATAATTATATATTATATAATTATTTATATATAAGTTGCTTACATATAATTAATTATAAAAGATATATATAATTATATATGATTTTATTCGTCGCAGAGACTTCCTTTACTGAACAAGTTGTGTTACTTATACTTATGTTAAATAAAACAATGCGTAGAATGTTTATCTGAACGACGCAACGGAAAGATCAAAGAGTAACAAGTGTTCGTTGCGCTTCGTCCAGTGTACGCCGATTTGGTCTTTCAACGATCTCGGAGTAAGATTAAGAGAACGTATATAAATACGCATACCGTAATTAAAGTAATAATTATGATTACGGTACATGTGCGTGCGGTTGCT